CCCCCAGAAGGCTGGCCGATCGTCATCTCAGGAAATCGCCTCTCCCCTCCCTGATAGCAATACCATGCTGGACGAGTCCGAACCGAAAGCCTCGTGCCAACCGCCTGGCTTGGTGGATTCCCCCGACCAGCTTCCGTACAGTTCAGCAAAGCTACCAGTCCCAGAAGGCAGCCAAGGTAATTGAGTTTCGCATCCTTTCACCACTTGTCTCTGGAGCTCTGCTTCTGACAGCCTTCAACAGAACATCCAATCCTTATTGACTTGAAGAGCGGTGAAAAGGATTCTCCGAACAGTATCAAATCCAAGATTATTGGTCCTGCTGTGCGCACCAGTGCCACAGACAGAGGGATCGCGGATAGCACATCTTCCAGCACAGATGCCGAATCGGACCCTGGGACTCCCGGAAATCCTGGAAAGTGCGATGGGGGAGAGCACCGACCGATGAGGCGGCGAGGCGTGCGGCACATGGGTGTTCGAGTCGAGATTCCTTCCATACCAGACGCTCTCCAGGAGACAGAGAGGCGAGGCGATAGGACCGATCCCAGCGACGACAGTGACTACAATAACTCCAGCGACTGCAGCGAAGACGACGATGATGATGACCATGTTGTCACTAGGCGGTCGCGGAAGCGGCGGAAACTCTCGGCGCGGTCCTCCGTGTCCACTGTCTCTTCCACAGCTTGCGCAGACGATCCTTCCCTGACTGCTTTACCAAACGATAAGAAGTCACGGAGTCCGGCGAAGAAGTACTATAAAAATCCGGCCAGTGATTCTTCCCGTGTGCCCGGTGTCCCACAAGATGATACGGTGACGAAACACTCGGGCGATGACATACCAGTTTCCGGGTTTCTTTCGAGCCACCTGAGCGGGTCCAAAGTGTGCTATACTATAACATTCTATCACCAGGACGCTGGTCGGCCCTTATCAGTGAAGGCAAACGGTCTGTCGCGTCCCAGTCGCAAAAAGCAGCAGCCCGTCGCAACCGGTGTGCGTGTGCCGTTTGCTTTAGAGGACGACGCGCTGCTGAAGGAACTCAAGGAGGAGGGCGAGCCATGGGATGAGATCGCCAAGCGCTTCCCGGGCAGATCTAAGGCGATTCTGCAGGTGCGGTACTCCACCAAGCTGAAGGACCGCGCCCCGTCGCGGCGGAAGTCGAAGCCTAGAAAACATGGATGCCGTTGAGCAAGAATACCAACAGCGTCTACAGAGACGGGTATCAGCCGGATGGCCCTGACAGGAGATCTGGATGTCCAGGGGCCACCACCGTAGGTGGTAGACTGCTACAACTATGCACCTCCGACAAGCGTCTAAAGATCGGCGGTGGAAGCTAACTTACCATTATTGAACTGTATATATCCATGGTAGCAATCAATAGTATCAACAAACAATTCGAATTTGCTCTATGCATTTTTTTTGTTTTTCCAAATACATGTGTCACGTGTCAGACGGAATAATAGTTGTTCTAAACCTACTTCCTCCGAGCTGTGAAATAACTCTGAACCGAATCCAAGTCTCAACACGAATAACAGGAAAACAGAGTAGCGCTCTCTTCTTCTTGCTCGCGTATCTTTGTCCCTCGCGCCAAAAAAAAAAGGAAAAGAAAGAAAGGAAAAGAAATAATTTAGGAAATTATATTATGCCATTTTAAATCTCGAATAAGAAAACCTAAAAGAGCAACACGAAATGTCTGACCATGATTGGGGTTGCTATTGGATTCAGAGAACCAAATTCCTCGTGCCAGCTTAGGGTTCAATGCATCTTCGTTGATACCACTGAAATCGAAAATGAACATTGCACTCCAATCGAAAAGGGCAACATCAGCAGTCACGTTCATTGAATACTTCCTTGCCTGCTTTGATAACCAGATTGCATTCTGCTAAAAGTGTGACCCAAAAGGCTCATCTTGAGCGGAATCATGTATCGCCTTTGCATTGCCTTGATTGGTCATAGTCTGCGGGAAATCCCCGCAGTGTATAACTTTGGTGTTCTTCAGTTCCAGAACGGCAATATTAACCATCTGGCCGCCATTGTGATACACCCATCTAACATCGGTTCGACAACCTCCTCCTGATGACAGCTCCCCTCTGCAGTAAAGACGTCAGATCCTCCGCCCCAAAGACTCTTCCTGGCGACGGCAGTTCAAAGCCTTTACTGGATTCGGTTCCACAGGCAGGCTTATTGGAGCCAGCGTTGGATCAGGATACATGGCATGGACGAGAATGGTCCCGAAGTAGTCAGGGTGATGATGACCCTCTGCCCTTGGATCCACCGATCGTGCTAGACTCTGATGACAACACTACGGACGGGTCCAGTGTTGACAGCGACTTCACATCTCCGGCCAAACGAGACAGTTCCGGCCGTGCAACATCTATATCTTGCTCTCCCAAAGCTGGTGGAAGAGTAGAAGCCGGCACTGGCATCGCCGGTGGACGTTCTACTCCCCTCAAGAGACGCCCCTGGGCCAGTGTCATGCACCCCATGATCGCGGTCGAAGTGCCGGTTGTCGCGGATCGCCTCGAAGAAGACATATCAAGCTCGATGCAGTACGAGAACGGGCTAGGCAGCCGACAGGACCGTAAGCTTCCCGGGGAAATCGTTCAGTGTGTTGAAGACGACACAACCATGTCCGACACAAGTAGCTCGAGCGGGCACTCCGACGACATGGATGACGACTACCGTGCGAGCAGCGAAGAGGATGGCCCAACGAAGCCGCCACCGAAGCGTCGCAGGCTATCCGGCGCTGTGGCGCGCCGTCTTCCGTCTCAGACCCAAAGAGCAGCCGCTGCAGGTCGTGATGTCGAACGGGTAGACAGCAGGGTGCGAAAGACGGCTCCGAAGGACAGTTCCACGACTCCCCGGAACACAGGTCATGGGCCGGACACGCACTCCCATTCATGGCCTCCCAGTGATGTCGAGCGGCCTAGTTGCCCCATTCCGTTGTTGGCCCCAGGGGAGGCTCTGATGCTTTCATCTGCGGTGGCCCAAGTCGTTTTCGAGATGGTCAGAGGCTGTTCAATGACCACCTCAGATCTCGCGGGCGAGCCGACAGCCGCGGCTGACACCAAAAACGGCGAACGGACGGTTGATCTGAACAGGAAAAGATGTCGCTGGACTGGGGGGGAGGACGACCGCTTAATGGCCCTGAAGAAGGATGGCTTCTCTTGGCCGGAGATCGGGGAGCGGTTTCCACAGAGACGACTCAGCTCCTTGCGGCAGCGATGGTATACAAAACTTTAGAATATGCAGGCAACCCCCCTAACGGACAAGCGGAGGCAAGAGGGAAAATGTAAGCGCGCCCACGATCCCTGTATGTAGGTCCCAAGTTATGTGCGAGGTGAGCTTGAAAATCATACTTGGAAGACGTGTTGCAATGGGTACTGATGCCTTCTCCTTGCGGACCTATTAGGTAGTGAGTCGGCCGGTGAGCCCCTGCCGATATCGAAGCCGCCGACGCCCCCCGAAACTTCACATTGCTATCCTGACAGACAACCCCAACCAGTAGATGACCCTGCCATGGTGGACATTGAAGAAACCTGGCACTCGAGAACATTACTCCCGAGAATTACAGCCTGTAGAGGAACTCAACAACCATATACGCCTCACCCCCATCACCCGTCTCATCATCCTCAGCATTTGATCAGCGATTTGGCCCGTTTACGCGAAGGTTGTAAGCATGGTTGAGGGTAGCTGCCCCACAGATATGAGCCCCGAGGTACAAAGTAGTACTAGTCTAGAAGTAGTTTAGCGCCAGACCTCATAGCCACTAGGCTGCAAGAGGAATAGACCGTCTCTCTCTCTCTCTCTCTATTTCACGTCCACATGCAGCCTTCCTATGACGGACGGCCAACCACCGTGGTGTACTAGATATGTGTCATCCCTGATACTGCGCGTCTAGTCAATGAATACTTCTTCTTATGCACTGCTACCTAAAGCTCCAACCCTCGAAATCTGTACCGGATTGGACTCGACCAATCCATACAGCTCTTGCAGAGAGCCGGCGGATAATGCCTTTTCAGTAACTAGATGTATAAATCTCTTAGTCAGCCAGATAGACCCTCAAGCCTAGTGTTCGTACTAGCGCACTGTCGAATCCAGCCTGTGATTAGTGAGTCACAAGCTATTCACATGGTCCAAAGACAAAACTCGGAAAATTCAATCGAGCACTTCATTTGGTAAGGCCTCCATGCCGAAGAAAAAGACGTGGTTATGGATAACTTTTTTTTAACAGACTTCGAACTAAGCCGGGGCATTCGCCTGTTTTCACCAATCCGTGGATAGAACAAATGGAGCTCATTTCAATTTCTCTCACAGAATTGCTACCATATCTTTAAGAGTATTTCCGCTACATACATAGGCAGTCATGCTGAACAAATAAGACATATGGACCGAAAGAAACAAAAGTAGCCGACACAATGGCTTCGTGAGTACATGAGGGATGGCTCACATCTGCCAGTTGTTGACTCCCTGATCATGCGATGCAAGCATACCAATGCACCACAAAGCAAGCATAACAGTCAATCGTGGTTGGGTGGCAGTTCCTCCTGTGGTCCAAAGGATTGGTTGAGCGAGCTCAAGATTTCCATTTTGGTCCAGCTTCCGGATTGCGACCAGTTCTTGATTGCTGACAAGGAACCCGTAGCGACTGTTGTGCTGGTTCATATAAAAATTAACCTGGCTTAACGCTTGGCGATACTCATTTCGTTGACTGACAATTTGGCTCCCTCTCATGTCGGTTCTCCATTTCCACGAGGGCTTGACATCTCCAGGAGCACGGTTGGGTGCAGTTGCTGGAGCCGCATGGATGTCGAAATATGCAGTATCGGGTTTGTAATTTTCAATTGCTCGTGCTGATTCGCCAACATCAAAACACAGTTCTGTGCGACCCTGCATTCCTCCATTGTTTGCTAGAAAAGCAAATCCAACTCGCAATGAGCGTCGAATGCGTGGTCTCAAAATCTCGCAGATTTGCGCTTGGAGAACATTTTCGGCGGTAATGGGTCGTGGTGGAGAGACTGGCATGGGGTCAGCCGCGATCACCGCGCCGTTCAAGACATTTTGGTACTGCTGGAGAATTGTCTCGAGATTAAAGCTCTGCCAGGTCTGGAGCCCTTGGATGTCGAGATAACTGTATGCTTGATTTGTAGTGTTGCGGCCTGGCTGGGGTGGGGGGTGGACCGGAACTGCCGCCAGTGGCTGCTGTAAGATGAAAAGAGAGATTCAGGCCTGGAGCTTTTTAATAACTGCACACATCCAAGGGAAATTCTTCTAGGACACTTAGAACACATTTCGGCTATATATATATATTGAAGTCCAGAAAAACAAATTATGTCTCCGTAATAAGGCGATGCCTGAGAAGCCGCAGGTATAAGGGGTGTTTAAGCGGCACAAACCTCAATTGGCTAACTGAAGAGGTCGAAGTTTTAATTCTTGTTGCTGAGCGTGACTCATCTTAGAAACCCACTCGACGTGTCCATTTGTATCGAATGACAACCCAATAGCTCCTCCACAAGATTTACGTGCTTGACACAGCCTTGTTAAAATCGCAACTCAGTGGAGCAATAAGATCGCGTCCATCAGGGTAGAGAATTTAGAAACAAGACACTAGTGTTATTATAGTATAGACTCAAAATTTCTGGCGAGCCATGTACCGATCGAAATTGAGCAAACAGATCAAACAATTCCCTGCTTCTCTTCCCTCATAAGGCTCAGCCTTTCGCCGCGAGCATAGAATTTTGAGGGCGACGAGCAAACTGGAAGATCGAAACACAACATCCAATGGATTTTACTGGCGTCGAACCCTCTGAAATAACATTTAAGCGAAAGCTTTTCAGTTCAGAATTTTCAGAAATATTCCTTGTTCATATTCGCAACAATTTATGTGTAATGAAAGTGGTGTGTGAACCTTGAGCTCTTCAAAACATCGGTTCATTCTAACATCTGGGGCAGCATCATGACAACGGCCCAGTCAAGCCCGCACCTCCTGAGCGTGAAACAAACATTCACATCTGCGAATCGAGTGCCTATAGGCGACTGATGAAGCACGGCCTTTGCGACCGCGGAATCGTGCCCCGGTTCTATGGGACAATGGAACGGATGGACTTGTCACATTATCAACCTCACCTGAAGATGTTTCTTAACGACAAGAGTCCTCCTAGCGCCATATTCTTGGAGTACATTCCTGAAATGGAAATGATATATCCGCACAATTTTACAAAGGAGCGGGGAGAGGCTTTGATCCGTGGCATCCGAGAGATTCACAGAGCGTTGGTTCTGCATTGCGACGCCAAACCGAGGAACATGATGATTGTCAGAAATGACCCGGAAAGAGTGGTCTGGTTAGACTTCGACAGAGCTCAGACCTATCACGCAGATAGCCTTACTGAGAGACAACAAGGATTTATTGAGGATGAAGAGCTAATGGTGTCTCAATTCGCGGATTCACTAGTGAGTGATCTACAGCAACTTAGGTCATAGTCGAACACTAACCAGGACCTACAGGAAGCTGATCATACGCGAGGCGAAATTGATGAGACTTATCTCTACTACTGCACCTAGGCCAATTTCACTACGTTGAATATGAGTGCACTTGCGGAGATGGTGCGATAACCTTTGGGGACTGCAGCGTGAGGAATAGCGTTCAATGTCGAAGAAGAGACGTAAATAGACTTTTAGGTAGTCACTGGTCGGAGTTTTCTTCATAGAACGTGAAACCTTACAACCGCGAATAAAAATAATATAATATGTTCCATAATTTTGCAGCTTTTCTCTTCTACTTCGCTTACGGCCCAGTGCCAAAAATATAAAAAATATAAATAAAAATAAAAATAAAAATAAATAAAAATAAAATAAAAATAAAATAGACTGGGTTTGAAGGATATCCTGGCCTCCGTGAAAATGTAACACTGCTAGGTCTTTTCACGCATTTAAATATGGACTATCTTTAACCCGGCCGTGGCTGGTGGAGGCCTGCCGCATGTGATCATACTCCACCTTTCTAGAAAATGTCATGGTGGGGCATTCTGCCAAAATCAACCTTGCTCCCTTTGTTGCCCTTTCCGACTCTTTACGTCACTACGTTTTGACCACACCTTCCCATCCGCTTTCCTCTTTGCTCTATTCCCCATAAGTTGGCCCTTCCCGTGGACCTCTGAGCGGTGACAGAACATTTCGCAAATGCCAGAGAATCGCTCTACGGTTAGGCGAACAATCCAACCTTTACGCTTCTTGCAAGCGCCTCACCTCCTCCTTCATAAATACCATTCTTGCAATCATCAAGGTGAGTTTTAACCATCTCCCGTAGCCCTTAACTACTAACATAGTTTATAATAGTTCAACTTTCGTATTCCAACGCCCATACACCCTACGGCTGCGAGTCACTCTTCAAAAAACGCTTTTGCGAGAGACAAAATTATTTCCCTTATTTAAACTCCGCCGAATAATTCGCCCCGATAGTCGTCAGCCTCGCGATTTGGGTAAGCCGCAAGCGTCACCAGAGGCGCCTCGCCGGAATTTCGGGAAAATATGGCTGCTCAGGTTGGGGATAAGGCTCTCAATGGAGAATGGGAGGAGATCGGCGCGCGTGATTTTCACATAAAAGAGGACATGACTATGACATTTGAGGGTAGATCATGTAATATTGCAGACGGTGAAGGGAAGTTGGTCGAGAAATTAGGCGCGGGCGATGGACAAGTAACGAGAAAGGTCCTCGCTGGATATCGATGTTACATAATGAAGGCGTCAGTTAAGTTTGAGAAGAGGTAGTGCTAATATTCAGAAGCAACATTTTGCATTTATCATTGATGGTAGTCAATCTTTAGTTACTTCTGGGACATCACCGCTAGACTCTGGGGTATATGTATCCCCCAATCCAAACAAGTTACAGATGTTCCATCCTTCCTTGTAGGAGATCCTGACAGCAAAGAAAGCATCTTCGTTGAGTGTCTCCGGCATGTACATAGACAGGCAATTCGTGACTGCTAGTCCTCCTCTCTCCTGTTCCTCTCTCCATAATTTGCTCGTCTTTATCGCAGTGCGAAATGGTTCAGGAAGGTTTTCGATCATGTCCCGCCTCACGAAAGAAAAGGAGCAGTGCTGTCCGTCTCCTGGAAACGTCGGATCCCCTGTCGTCAACGTTAGCTACAAAAGCGACATCTCATTAGGGGTCATCTGTCTAACCCGGAACCTGTTGTGATCCCAACCGGGGACGCTTCGGCAATGGAACGCTGAACTTTGCTGCTAGGGAGGAGAGAACTGGGGAATACAAGGAGTTTTGATTGTTGGCGATCCAGTTGACCAGCGTCGTTCTCCTCTCCTCGCTCAAGGAAACCACTCTATTTTTACCCAGGCCAACGGCGCATAGTACGACAAGTCCCTGTCCAAACTGTCCACACGTTCGAAGAATATCGTGTAGAAATGAGTAGTATATCTTGAAAGCACGAATAGTCTGATCAGTGGTCATGATCTTAACTGCGGCGGAAAGGAGGTTCGCGGCTCTGGGCTCTAATCGCCCTAGGGTGTGAAGTTTCTTTGCGTGCTCTTGGAGTCTCTCACACGGCTCGCGGATTCCGGCCTCCTGCTCAAGCGACTGGGCCATTAGGTTGAAGCTGGAATTAGAACCTGCTTTGTGAGGAGTTAAGAGTGAAGAGTTAATTAAGAGTTAATTAATAGTTTATGAGAAAGCCAAGCGAGGGGAAGAAAATCCATGAACTTAGGTAAGACTTGCTCATTAGTTAATTAGTAGTTAATCAGTAGTTAATTAGTAGTTTCGGCACCCACCCCTAGACTATATTTTTGAACAGTTAATGAGAAACTTACTGCGCAGCTTGCAGTTACACCTCCTTCGTGGGCCAATCACACTGCCGCTACAAGACTCCAACCAAAACCAACAGATGCCAAGCTTATACGGATAATCCCCACTAGTGCCATAAATTGATACAAGTTTATATAGACTTCAATTTTTGGAGGTCTACTCACCTTTCCATTTTCTTCTAATGCAGTTTTTGCTACACATTCCTCGATTGTCATCACTGTCAAGCAACATCTCTCCCTGGCCGACTTTTCCAGTCAGGGTTCAGGGACAACACACCAGGCATCCGGTTCGGTTTTTTTCCTGAGCTTTCTACCAATCAGACTCCCAAACGGCTCAATGATCATCCACCTGTCCGTGTACTGATAGAGCATCCCGGGCGTCTAGGTCTCGTAAATCCCTTCAGTGCTTTGAGTACTCGCGATGAAGGCAATAACACAGATCAAACGTGGACATTTGCGGCGTATGGCGCGATGTGCCTCGCATGGTCTAGGTCGGTATAGACAACATATCCTGCGTCTAGATCGACTCAGTTGATGGATGCGCGGGGTGAAATACACCAGCATATAAGGGGGCAATATTCCCTTCGAATCCTGAGGCAATGAACAGGTGTATTCAAAACATTCAAACTCGAAGCGCGATCTATATTCCAATCTCTCCAAGTCTTTACACTTTCCCACTCCCTCTTCCCTCACAATGTCCAAAGCTACAAACCCAAACAGCACCGAATCTTGTCCCGCCTCTTCCCATCCTCCTCCTCCAAACAGTCCTACCCATGGAGCGGGCAAGGGTCGAGCTCTTACTGGCTTAGCGAACGAGTCCACCGGAGCTACGAAAGCGAAAGAACCCTTTGTTATTCGACTATCCCATGTTGATATAGGGTCACGGTTGCTGCGCAACGAACTGGCAGAAATTGATCCAGAGCTAGATAAATCACGGGTATTTCCTTTCTTCCCCGTTATAGTCACCAGCCTAACCACTAATGCTTCCTCAGATTGAGCGGGACACTCTGTCCAACAACCTGGCAAAACTCAAAGCCCACAGCCGCAGCAAAACTGACATGCCACCTGAGGCGCGAAATGAACTAGAGGATCTTATCGAGGTCCTTACACCCGTGCTTATGGACGGCTTAATGAAGCCGTTTCGATGATGGTTATCACAAGAGCCGTTCTTTGTTGCTGTTTCTGTATTTTGTCTACCCGATCTGAAATGGCATGTGTTCGATGCAGAAAACAGCGGTGGGTGGGTGTGATGTGGAAACCATTGCTTCTTGCTTTACTGTGGGGTTGACCTTGTTATCCTGACGGCCCTATACTTGGGGTTTGTTTTCTCTATGTTAGCTCCAGAGCTTTGAGGCCGAATTGGAATGATGTCGTTATGTCAAAACTGATCTATATAAATAGTCAAGATCGAAGTGAAAATTTCTTAATCAAAAGTACAAAAAATCGAATCGTCCAGTCACGTGCTTTGTAAATTATGCCAGTCACCACCGCCTTCACCAAACTCATCGTCAAACTTTCTACTTTCCCCCACCTCAAGGCTTCCCAGAACATCATGGCAACCAGTATCCGTCGCGTCCTTATCTCACATCATGTTGTAGCTATTGAAATCCTACGTCCTGGTTTCAAAAATGCTATCACGGCTGCCGGCAACGTCGCCAAGGCTGCCATCCAAGCACAACCTGGGACCGTCCAAGCACAGAGTGTCTTAGTACTGCCAGGGCACTCAATCTATGGCCGCATTGAGGAGGCTTTGGTGGAGCACCGTATACCGAAAGTGAGATATAGAACTCAGAACATGATGAAGCTAGCTAACTTAGTTTGACAGACTCTTACTGACTCTATACTCGTAAACTTTCTTTCACCGAACACTGCGAACACCCTCAAGCCAGGTAAAGATCAAATATTTTGCTATCGGAGGGGTTCCTTCGCCTTCAGAGAATTTCCCATCACGGTCCTAATACCTTTGGTCGGTTCCGCTACCATCGCCATCGCGCCGATGGGACCTGACAAGCCTGATGGGACTTCCGTGCCCAATGGGAAACCCGTCCCGATCGTTTGGAACCCAGGATACTATATAGTCGCATATGGCCCTTTCGATATTCAGGTTGGCGATGAAGGCGGAATCACGCTTATAGTGATCGGTTATCAGAGGAGCGGCGATGGGAAAGAATCCGCGTGTAACCCTAATCCATGAAAGAGGTCACCAGCCTCTGCGCATTCGCTCCCTTGTCGGTTTTCCAACCATATTCCGAAATTTTGCATCAACGCATCCATTGGCAGGGGATCGTCGAACGAGGGAACAACGGTATCTGGTACATCTGTGGGCGGCCGGTGGTTTTGGTCCAAGGTCCGGTGCGCGGTTGTTAATTGATCGACGGGGTCTTCATCTGCGTTCCATGGTAAGCAGCCGATCAGGATGCAATTATTTGACTTACCAGTTTGGACAGGTTGTGGCAACTTCGCCGGTCCTTGGTGCGCATTGCATTTTCCTTTCATACCTTGTTAATATAGAATGTTAGCCAGATCTGGAAGGTCACTCTTACGTGAAGAAAGTTTAAGCTTCGCCCCTTCGCAAATCAAAGTGACCGCATCTAGTAGATGACCGTGGATTTGATCGCTTCTGAAGAGTGGTCAGCTTTTGCAGGAGTATGCGGATCCCGCGTGCATGCACATACGATATACCGGCCAGACTCTGTAGTTCCTGGATCGGATCGAAATCATCGTGCTCTGTCAAGGCGGACACACCCTCCGGGAATTGTACAAGCCCGTCTTCTGTACGAAACAGATCTTCTACCCCATCCACGATCAAGGCAACCACTTCGACCAGAAGTTTATCTGTCAGAGACCCGTTGGAGAGGCAGTAATTGGCAGCTGATGTCTAGTCAGTCAATGTGTAAATGCCTCTGGACCTATAACTTACACCCTAGTCCGGTAAGTATGATACCATATATGGTATGTTGATCTTCCTCCCTAAATCTTTCACGGAGACATTCCAGGCTCGCGAAGACAACTTTGACAAACCGACGCCATGTCGAGCGAGTAGAACTTGATGGACCTGATGGCAACTCGGAACTGTTTATCGTATCAGCAGAACCCGGTCGGGCAGGCAAGGAGGAAGCTATCAGATCAAGAATGCTGGCAGCAAAGCGCCGCTGCCACCGAGCTGTGTGTCCATCTCTGGCAACCACATCACCGCTCTGCCAAATTCGGGCATATAGTAACTCGTACGGATCATTGGCTGTATGCTCAATGTTACCGCCCGTGCCGGGAACCGACGCCCTTTTTTTGAGTCCACTGATAATCTTCTTGATAAACTGGCCTGCTAACTTGGGGCAGATCGGCTTGGAACTGTCTTCGGCCTCCGAAGGAAGAGAGGTAGTAGAAGGAGGGATCCGATCGGAGATATCGTGCGGTATGATTGCCTTTGCCTTCACGAAACACGAAGTGGCGGATGAAGTGTCGGTATTCGCAAAGTTCCTTATTGTTGGTCAAACTCTGGAGGTATTCTTCGGAACGACCTGGAAACTCACCAGCCAACAGCGACCAGGTCACAGCGGACCTCTGGAAAGTTCGAGTTTAGAAAGTCTTGTGTGCGAACCCTGATCTCTTCAGAAAATTTGGTATGTACACATGGACAGCATAATTCATATTGAACTGGGCTGACAGCAAAGTTGATGTTGCCTGGGAACCATGGAGGCGAGTAAGGCCATATGGTAACAAAAACAACAGCAAAATGACATGACAATTGAAATAGGAGGATGAAATCATTTGGGCTGCTTGGAGAGAGAGATTTCAAGTCTGAACTTCCATTCTGGAGTATCAATAATAGTTTGTGGTTTTGAGAATTAGAGACGGTATTCCCTGGAGCCATCTGCGTTGCTGGTATTGTCAAGAGTTGAAGATGGATTGCTGCATAGAATAGAACAGAAGCATACGATAACAGAAGCATACAATAGTATCCACTACCCCATTTTGACAGGGATACTCCTAAATTTTGAAAACTTAGGAGTATCCCTGTCGATGCCACATCAGTGCCCGTGCCATCCAGACTATTGTTCTTGCATCCAATTTCGCCAAAGTTTTCTTTTTTCAAAATCCCATTTGCTTCATATTTGAGCTTCTCCACCTTAGTACACATTACAATCCTCTTTGCCTTCGCCGGACTGTCGATCAAAGTGATGTATCCAGAAAGAATTCGCGCCGGTGTGGCGGCTTTCCGGAATGAAGACCCTTTACTCTTTCACCAGCCCAGACATAAGAGCTCGCACCGCTCGCCCAGTTGCCTTCCGGCGCTCTCACTGGGATATCCGTTGTCGTCTATCATACGTCGCATATCTCTGTGTGGCCTGTGCCAATAAACAGCCAAAGGCATTTACCCTAGCAACCCCCAATTCCTCTATGCCCCCCGAAGATCATCAGAGAACATCCATCGGGTGCGTTGCTTTGCTCTAGGGTTTGATGCTAATGGCTGATATCTTTCCAGTCTCGCTCGCTATTATCCACTCAAGCTGGGTTGTGAAAGGTGTGTTTGTTGAAAAGACAGTAAATGTGATCAGCGTTCCGAGAGACCCTGCCAAAATGTATTTTCCCATTCCCCTTTGCTAATTCGCATGACTGACTGGGTTACCTAGTCATGATAGGCCAAAAGCATGGACAGAGATTTACGCTACGCCGCGGCCGCAAGACAGCAGACTTTCGAGACTGCCATCTCCGCTGTAACTTGTGTTTTCCTCTTCTGCCTTCTTTACAAGGCATATGCCGCGAACCATCGTCTGGCCTATTTCTGTTCCACTTCCCTGTCCGGCTCCGTGGGGGGGAGAATAGAGATGATGCGAACCGATATCAGGTATAAGATCCATCGTGGTTCGCCTGGTATCTGCATATTTCTGCATATTTTCTGTACATCGGATGGCTTCTTAACTTCCGCAGCCTCGCCCCAGGCAAATCTTCTCTCTCATGGCTTTCTTGTCTGCATTTTTGCCTCGCCCGATCGTTAGTCCTGGGCCAATCTGCAATGATCCATATACGCCATCTGTCGGTTCGTCGAGGCCTGACGTTCACCGAAACGCCGAGGAACGGTGAGCTTATCCCCAGGGCTCTTTCTTCTATCACTAACATTCAATAGAAAAATAACGAGATATCATATTGACAATCCTGAGGAAATTCTGCGGATTGTCGGCTATTGTGGAATTTTTTACGGCCCAACATTGGGCCCTACGGTCTCCGCACATGCTCTTCTAGCCTCATCTGACGAGGCTATACCAGTGCGCTGCAGCTGGGAGGTATTCAAGAAAGCAAAGGATGCCAGATGGGCAGTTCATTATGTTGGCGAGGATTGGGATATTGTCGATGAAAAATTCGGAAGAAACAAGAAATCCTAGAGGATGGGTTTGGCTTGTACAAGGCTGAATTTTGATGTCCTGTTGTTTTCTTTCCGCTTCTTACCTTAGCCGTGCATATAAAGGGTACCTTGCCTCCTCTCAAAATTCCGTCGTTCATAACCTTCTTTTCTATGTTGTTAGTCTTTTTCGCCACCTAAAAATCAGAGGACTCTCATTCTCCAAAACTTTCACTGTCTTCCCTGCCATTACTCTACACCTCCTGGATTAAGTATGCGTCCTAGGCGTGGCGAAATCCCATCACCTCTCAAGTTTGAGAATGAGGCGCCTTTGTCATATCCTCCTCTGCACGACCGATATAATGGCAGGAGACCGCGAGTAATCCTGGCTCTCGCGAGCGGCATTGCGTTTTTGTCGGTTTTAAAATTATCTGTCCCAAAATGCCAGGTGAAGGACTAGCCGTGCAGTGAGGATGGGTTCAAGCCGTGGGCAAAATTCGCGCCGTACGATAAGCCCCTTTGGGACTTGGGTATCCAACTTAACGAACGCGTGGCTCCTTCCATGTCAGTGGTGGTCAGCCATTCCAATAAATTGTTTCAATATATTTTACTTTTTTTACAGGAAGTTTTCCAAACTTCGATATTTCTCTTGAATCCACTTGAAAACCAGGCAATGGTATAAGAATGGTTGATCGTCCTAACTTCCTCTATGCTACTTACTACGCTCCCTGCCCCAAGCCAAAAATTAGAGGAACCCTTTTCTAAGAACATCAATAATTTTTGGAGTACATGCTCATCGTCGGTACCTTGTCCACATACCTGTGCGGGCCACATTCCCTGACAACAGACACGGGGGCTTGAGAGATGGCTTCATCTGCCCATGAATGGGCAGACATGATACTACCTCAAGAGAACCGACATAGCCCAATACACAGTACCTCCATCCCACCCTATACATCATCTGAAGGCAATCCTCAGCATGCAAATTATCTGTCAACGAACGTCATGTCCCACAATGGGGTCTCTAACATACAAGACTGCGGATATCCTCCAGAAATACGTTCTGTGGGGCAAACTCCTGATGGTTTGCTGGTGCCCACGTATGAGATGCAACCACAGGTGTTTGCCCATTCGCATAGGCAGTACTTTCTGGGCACTCCCAGTGCCACTGCCAACACTAATGACGTTGATGGTGTTGGCGCATCCACTGGAAAAATACCGCGCGCAAAGCTAGTAGGATTTGGCTTCGCTTTACACCCCAGCATGAGGATTTAACTAATTATTCACAGGCATGCGATCATTGCCGGGCTCGAAAAGTTAAATGTGATGAGGCTCGGCCAACCTGCGGTACATGCAAAATGGAAAATGCTTCTTGCGTATATAAGCAGCCGCCTCCTCACCAGTGAGTCGATCGGAACTGACACTTGCTCATGAGGATAACTGATGGCCTGTTTTAGGAATGCAGCAATATGGGACGAACTTCACCAACTGCGTAAGGATATCCATCAGCAGAACGAGGGCCTCCAGGAGACGCTCCGGGACATAAAGGAACGCCAATGTGCACTTGACGCCCTTCTCAGGGAAATGCACAGCAGTGAGAATGGTACAAGGAAATGAGGTTGAAATCCAGGATTCGAGCGTCTGTGGGTTGCTCTCGTCCGCTGCCAAGGGCAAAACATCTACATCAAAGCCCTGGTGTTCTTTTTGGACTGGGTCCTCATCCTGGGGAACGCGGACTATGTCTATCAGCGGAGAACAATGGAAGATATCATCGACTGCCTAGAAACGGCGGCTTCCTTCTACTTTTCATTTATATAAATAGTTATCTTGTGGTATAAATCGGGCGTGCAGCGATTGAAAGGGACGAGGACATTTTCAACGCGCACAAGCGATTGCGAGAGACTCCGTCCATCTGTCGTGCCGCCAAGTTTTCCTTTGATTCCTTACACCCTCTGTTTGATCCGGTCATCTCCATGCCAGCACACCGGACACCGTTCACGTTCATGGCCACATCCTGGACATTTCCCCCCGCCCCTGACACTCTCATCACATCCACAACAGTACATTCTTCGACGTTGGCGAACTTTCCTTTCAACCCATCCTTCTTTGCTTTTCTGTGCTTGATTCACCCGTATCTGGCTCAACAGGTCGAGCCCCTCGGGTCGCTCGTCACCTCGATCCTGAGATCTGTTGGTTCTTTTGTTGGGTTCTGCATTATCTTGCATCGCTTGCGTACTTGCTCTCTTCCGTATTTTCTTCACGGTCAAATCTTGCATATTCTCCATCTGGAAAAATATTAGTTACACAATGAAAAGCACATTCTAAGAAGGGCGCCCACATACCTCTCAAGATAAATATACTATCCCTTTGTTTTTGCCGCTGCACTGAAGTCTGAGTGTGCCTGAGTTAGGCTATACTGAGGAGGGAGCTGGTGAATTGGCCAAAAAGGGGAGAACCTTATAGCAATAAATAGGAAGATAACTGCTTGATATACTTAGAGCTCACTCCCGTGGCTCCACTGTTTATTGGACAACCCCTAATACTTTGCAAAAAAGGAGGACGGAGTAATTTACGCTCGATCCTTTAGCCCTCAAGTTCTTCATTCTGGAGCCATAAGCCGCCACAAATAGTACCTAAAGTAGGCCTTTCTCCCACCCTTGGTGCACTGTCCCAATTTCCTGATGAATCTTCACTCATCTAGTCACTATTTTCCTGGAGATCAAAACCGCCAGAGCCGCTATTCCACCTCCACCTCCGTTGACATGATGGAATACAGTACATGCTTCTGGCTCCTTTTCTGCTACCGATATGTTCGTCTCGTGGTGAATTGCATAGCGATTCTCCTATACAAACCAATACCTCCGCCTAAAAATCCACCCTACGCTTCTCACGACGTCACAGTGATTGTACCCACGCTTGAAGGGCATGGAGTGCAGTTGAAGAAAACTCTCGATACCATCTGCAGGACTAAACCGCACGAGATCATATTATCAACCATCGACAAGAATAGTGAAAAAGCCAAGGAAACTGCAAATTGGATAAGGGGGTCTTTTCAAACAACAGTGAGGGTGGAAAGTGTTCCTCATCCAAATAAGAGACACCAAACGGCAGTCGCAATTGAAAAAGTGAAAACGGTTATTATCATCCTTGCAGATGATGATGTCTTCTGGCCTTCGGAGTCTTTCCTAGAGTGGATTCTAGCTCCATTTGAAGATCCCAAGAGGGGAGGAGTTGCCACTTGCCAGCGTCTCGTGCGGCCCGGCAATATGGGGCTCTTTGAACACATCTGGTATTTCCTTGGAGCACTTTATCTGGAGCGGAGGAACTTCGACTGTACTGCCACAACATTCATGGATGAAGGGGTGCCTTGTCTTTCCGGACATTAGCCCTTCGCGCTGCGGTGATAAAAGATACAGCATTTCTTGAGTCTTTTCTCAGTGAGCGATGGTCTGGGGTCCCTCTAAACGCGGACGACGACAACTTCGTAACACGATGGTTAATCAACCATGGCAAGATGTATTTTCAAAATCATCCTAAGGCAGAGGTTCGGAACAACGCTGGAGAATAACCCTAAGTTCCT